CTGCTGTGGCCTCGCGGCTCCAAGGGCCCAGCTGTGCCCGTGCCCACACTGGGCTTCTGCTCCCGGTGGTGACGCTGCAGGTGGTACTTGAGCGAGCCAGACTGGGTGCCGGCGTAGTCGCAGTGTGGGCACTTGTACGGGCGCTCGCCTGCCGGAGGAGGGGGAGCCAACAGTCAGAGTCCACTGGGGAGCCCAGGCAGACGCAGACAGACACAGCGACAGGACAGGTCTGCACTAGCACTGCTTTGTGCCAGGCTAGTTCATTAACCACAACACTCGCACGCACGTACGCACACGATGCTTGCACGCTACAGGCATCGCAGTGTGGGCACTTGTACGGGCGCTCGCCTGCCGGAGGAGGGGGAGCCAACAGTCAGAGTCCACTGGGGAGCCCAGGCAGACGCAGACAGACACAGCGACAGGACAGGTCTGCACTAGCACTGCTTTGTGCCAGGCTAGTTCATTAACCACAACACTCGCACGCACGTACGCACACGATGCTTGCACGCTACAGGCATGTGTACTACTCACGCACGTATGCATACTATGCTTGCACGCTACAGGTATGCGCACTGCTCACGCACATACGCCACACGATGCTTGCACGCTACAGGCATGTGCACTACTCGAACGTACGCACACGATGCTTGCACGCTACAGGCATGTGCACTACTCGAACGTACGCACACGATGCTTGCACGCTACAGGCATGTGCACTACTCGAACGTACGCACACGATGCTTGCACGCTACAGGCATGTGCACTACTCGAACGTACGCACACGATGCTTGCACGCTACAGGCATGTGTACTACTCACGCACATATGCACACTATGCTTGCACGCTACAGGCATGCACACTACTCACGCACGTATACATACTATGCTTGCACGCTACAGGTATGCGCACTACTCACACGCACATATGCACACTATGCTTGAACGCTACAGGCATGCACACTACTCACGCACGTATACATACTATGCTTGCACGCTACAGGTATGCGCACTACTCACACACACATATGCACACTATGCTTGCACGCTACAGGCATGCACACTACTCACGCACGTATGCACACTATGCTTGCACGCTACAGGTATGTGCACTGCTCACACGCACATATGCACACCATGCTTGCATGCTACATGCATACTATTCACACACATGTATGCAACAGACATGAGGACAAGGGGGATCCAGTAGATATAGTGTACTTAGATTTCCAGAAAGCCTTTGACAAGGTTCCTCACCAAAGGCTCTTAAGGAAAGTAAGTTGTCATGGGATAAGAGCGAAGGTCCGTTCATGGATTGAGAACTGGTTAAAAGACAGGAAACAAAGGGCAGGAATAAATGGTCAGTTTTCCAAGTGGAGAGAGGTAACTAGTGGTGTACCCCAAGGGTCAGTCCTGGGACCAATCCTTTTCAACTTATTCATAAATGATCTAGAGAAAGGGGTAAACAGGGAGGTGGCAAAATTTGCAGATGATCCCAAACTGCTCAAGAGAGTTAAGACCAAAGCAGACTACGAAGAGCTTCAAAAAGATCTCACCAAACTAAGTGACTAGGCAACAAAATGGCAAATGAAATGTAATGTTGCTAAATGTAAAGTAATGCCCATTGGAAAAAATAATCCCAACTGTACATACAATAAGATGGGGACTCATTTGGCTACAACTACTCGAGAGAGATCTTGGAGTCATTGTGGCCAGTTCTCTGAAAACATCCACGCAGTGCGCAGCGGCCGTCAGAAAAGCAAATAAAATGTTAGGAATCATTAAAAAAGGGATAGAAAATATCTCATTGCCTCTATAGACCCATGGTACACCCACATCTTGAATACTGCTACAGATATGGTTGCCTCGCCTCAAAAAAGATATATTAGGACTGGAAAAAGAAAAGGGCAACAAAATGATTAGGGATTTGGAAAGGGTCCAATATGAAGAGAGATTAAAAAGACTTGGACTTTTCAGCTTAGAAAAGAGACGACTAAGGGGGATATGATAGAGGTCTATACAATCATGAGTGGGGTGGAAAAGGTGAATATGGAAAAGTTATTGACTTATTCCCACAATATAAGAACTAGGGGCCACCAAATGAAGTTAATAGGCAGCAGGTTTAAAACAAACAAAAGGAAGTTTTTCTTTACTCGGTGCACTGTCAACCTGTGGAACTCCTCGCCAGAGGATGTGGTGAAGGCGAGAACTTTAACAGGGTCCAGAAAAGAGCTAGATAGATCCATGGAGGCTGGGTTCATCAATGGCTGTTAGCCAGGATGGGTAGGAATGGGGTCCCTGGCTTGTGTTTTCCAGAGGTAGGTGACAGAGGAGGGCTCACGTGAGAATTACCTGTTGTGTTCCCTCCCACAGGATACTGGGCTGGATGGACCGTTGGTCTGACCCAGAGTGGCCGTTCTCAAATTCTCATATTACACACACACTATGCTTGCACGCTACAGGCATGCACCCTACTCACACACATATTACAAGCATGCACACTAACGTATGTATGCACACTATGCTCACAAGCACACACTTCTCACGCACGTACGCACACTATGGTTGCATGCTACATGCACGCAATACACATATGCACACTACTCATGCATGTACGCACACTATGCTCGCATGCTACACGCATGAACACTACACATCCACACATATGCATGCTATGCTTGCATGCTTCAGGTACATATGCTACATGTACACACAATACATGCTCACATTCACCACGCATGCACACACACATACTATGCATACATGTGCACTACACACGAATGATGCACACATACTATATGCACACTATACATACGAATGATGCACACATTACATGCACACATACTATATGCACACTATACATATACACATGCACACTACACTACATGCACACACATTACATGTATGCACACTACACACATACTGCAGGCACACGCACACACTATGCATGCACACGCACACCACACACACGCATCCACCCAATCCAATCTCTACTAGTAAGACACGAGCTCTGCTGGTTTCCCTTGGGGTTCACTCTGGTCTGCCCACACCGCATTCCAACCCTCCTGAGAGCTGGGTGAGCGGGACAGACGGACTCCTCCACAGACACGGACGTGCTGACAGACAAACCCAGACACGCCAAGCTCGCTCTCTGGGAGGGTGTTACTCCCCCCAAACATCTTCCACCCCCACCCCCTCTCCGGTTGTGCCCCTACGAACTCAGGCGGGGAGCACAGAATGCTGGGAAGCGACCGTCTCGGGCCGCACACAGATCTGGACCAAAGCTCACGCCAAGTCCCAGGCAAGGTGGGCCCATCCGGGCCAGCCCTTTGCACGGAGCACAACGCAGCCCACCCACCCAGGGCACCTCCTCTGCACTGGGCCCCACAGCCCCGCAGCTGCCCCACCCCAAGCCCATTCCAGGCTGCTTGGCCTGGGGAGGGACACAGCACGGTCCAGGGAGGGCTCTGTCCTGCAGGCCCTGCCCGCGCCCAGCTCACCTGTGTGGACGCGCAGATGCACCTTGAGGTGGTGGGAGGAGCGGAAGGTTTTCCCGCAGTACGGACAGTCCTTGCCTGACGCGCCGCGGCCCCCGTCCGGACGTGCAGGCCCTGCCCGCGCCCAGCTCACCTGTGTGGACGCGCAGATGCACCTTGAGGTGGTGGGAGGAGCGGAAGGTTTTCCCGCAGTACGGACAGTCCTTGCCTGACGCGCCGCGGCCCCCGTCCGGACGCAGGGCTCCCCCACGCAGCCCCTTCTCCTCTGCACAGATGGGAGGGACGACGTGAGGCCAGGAGATGGGGCTTGGAATGGGGCAGAGAGCGTGGGCCTGGG